CACTATAGCCATCAAAATCTCATCAAAAGCTTGTCCAATTTAGCTTTTTTTTCTTGCCAATTTCTTTTACCAAAGTCGTCTTTCGAACAACCCCCAATACAATGTATCCCAAAGAAATTGATTGTCATTTGACATTGTCAAATATGTGGTCTCATAGGTCACGAGCCTTTCAAAGGGAATGAATTATATCCCCATGGGATGTGTAGAGCTGGATTTGTTCCATAACAATGTCCTTTGTTTTATTTTATTTTATTTTATCTCTCCATTAATTTAAATAAAATACAACTACTATTAGATCAAAATATGCTTACTAATTTGACACTTAATTTTATTTTATTTATTTATTTTTTTAAATAATAAATCTTGCCTTTAAATTGAAGACTTTCACCATAAATTTATTTTAGGTTTTAAAATTAATTAAAAGACCCTCCAAATATTTAATTTGCACTTTAGAATTCACCATCAAAATATTTGAGATTGTAATATTATTATTATTATTATTTAATTATTTACTTAATTTTTTTTATATTTGGGTCTTCACATATATCACCTATAACAAAGTCTAATCTGCTGTAGATTAAACATAATTATTTACTTAATTTTTTTATATTTGGGTCTTCACACACATGTTGATTATAAGAAAATTAAGGGATTTGTGTTAAATTTGGATCATTGAAAACATAATTTACTATTGAAGGGATTTGTTCCCCTTTGTTTATATAATCTAATATAAGTCAATTCTTGTAGTGTTTTTATTTAGTTTGTATTATTTTGCAAACATAGTTTACAGTTTTTATGCTAATACTGAGCACTTTTTTTATTTTTTAAGTGACTTGGCACATTGATATCGAACCTAACAATGTTAAGAATGACGGAGGTGATTGTGATTGGAAGCCTAGAGTTCACATGACATTTGATAAAGAATAAGAAACATATAATTTCTATAATGCTTATGGAGGAAGGATGCGCTTTAGTATTAGAAGGGGTTATGTAAACAAAAACAAGGAGGGGCAAATCACTTCAAGGCTATTTGTTTGTAAGAATAAGGGGTTTCGAGTTGTCGACAAGCAAGATCCATTAACAAAAAATCCTATGCAAAAAGTGAGGACTGGTTGTCAAGCCTGACTTATTATTAAGTGGGATAGGAATATTCATAAATTTTTTGTTGGTGAGTTTGTTGAACAACATAATCATATTTTTGTACCCACAGAATGTACGCATATGTTACCATCCCAAAGGAAGATATCTGCATCACAGACAATCAAAATAGATTTAGCCGAAAAATCTGCAATCCGACTTAATGCTGCATTTGAGCTCATGGGTAATGAAGCTAGTGGAAGGGAGTCGCTTGGGTTCACAAAAGTGGACCAAAAAAATTATTTGAGAACGAAGAGACAAAAGAGTTTAGCGTATGGAGAGGCATATAGCATTTTGCAATATTTTCGTGAGAAGACATTGGAGAATCCATCTTTTTTTTTACTTGGTCCAATTAGATAATGTGGAGCAGATTACAAACATATTTTGGGCCGATACTCAAATGATCATGGATTATGGGCAATTTGGTGATGTTGTGACTTTCGACACTACTTACAAGTTAAATAGTGCACATAGACCACTTACGTGTCTTTCGTTGGATTTAACCATCATAGGGAAACTGTTATATTTGGCACAACTTTGATGTATGATGAGACTACCGATTCTTTTATATGGCTTTTTAGAAGATTCTTGGAGGCAATGTCAAATAAGGCTCCGAAAATAATTTTTACGAATCAGGATGCTGCAATGGCTAAGGCCATACCTATTGTCATGCCTAACACAAAACACCGCCTTTGCACTTGGCATTTGATGCAAAATGCATTAAGGCATGCAAATTCTATCTTCAAAAATAAGGAGGTGAAGGATAAGGGGATGAAGAGTGTTTTATCCAAATTTATGTATGACATTGAGGATGAGGATGATTTTACGTTAAATGGGAGAAAATGCTTGACAAGTATAAAGTACGAGATAATCATTTGTTGAAGTTAACATTTGGGGTCAAGGAAAAATGGGGTTGGCCATATGTTAGAAATGCATGAGGTGCGGGCATGAGTAGCACCCAACTTAATGAATCCTTTAATGCATTTTTGAAGGATTTCATTCAGTCTGATCATAACTTAATGCAAGTTTTCATGCATTTTGATCGAGTTCTTTGTTAGAAGAGGTGCAAAGAGTTACAAGCCGAATATGCTCTATGCCAAAAGTTGCTAAGGGTGAATATTAAAGTGAAGATTATGGAGCAAGCTGCAGATGTTTACACAAATAAAATTTATGAAGAATTTGAGGATGAGTATGTCAAGTCCCTTAAAGTAAACATTGAAGAAACTAAACATAATGGTGAGAGCACCGTTTATACGGTTCTTGACAGTGATGATGTAAAGGTGAGGAAGGTGAGAGTGGAGTGTGATGGTTCACTCACTTGCAATTGTAGAAAGTTTGAAATGAAAGGCATTTTGTGTAGTCATTATTTGAAGATCCTTAGAGACACCCTCAAATTCAAAGAGATTCCTCCCCAATATATTCTCAAGAGATAGACCAAAAAAGCAAGAGCTGAAAATGTGAAAGATAGGTGTGGGCATGATATTAAGGTTGATGTAAGATTGCATCAAACTTCACGCTTTAGATCATTGATGGCAATTTTCAGAGCAGTAGCGTGTAGAGCTTCCGAAAGTGAGGAAACATATTACTTGACGATAAAGAAAGCGGATGACTTTATTGCAAACATTGAAAGCATATTAAGCGCAAAATTCAATATGCCTTTTTTAGATACTATTGAACAAGAAAGTCCTCCCAACACATGCCTCGAAAGCTTTGAATTGGATGGTGTAGCGGATACAAATGTAGTTCAAGCAAAAGGACTCAAGTGAAAAGAGTGCACTAGCAAGGGACGAAGGTGAACAAAAGGTGATTTGGAGCTTGCGTTAGCAAAGAAAAATAAAACAAGTTCACATAATTCTTCCCAAAGTCCCATCTCTGTTGCTCCTCAACCTAGTGCACATAATGCTTCTCAAACTCCCATGCCTGTTACTCCTCAACCTCCTCCCTTATTTTTGGTGAGTACTCCTGAACCACCTCCCTTGTTTTCGCCGAGTATTCCTCAATTGGCTCCTTTATTTTCAATAAGTGCTCCTCAACTTCCTCCATTCTCGACATGTGTTCATCAAGTTAATGCTTCGTCATCCCAATTTATGTATCCCACCTATGATGTAAGTTAATTTAATAAGAAGTTTTATTATGTTTATTTGTAAGTGACTAGTACCATTTTAAATTGATATATGTTTTGTTATTGTTTTAGCCAAGTTTTCTTCATCACAATATGCCTTTTCCAATGTCATCGATGTATTCCGTTCATGGAATCTAGCAAGCATTGCTTAACAATTATGACTCGCAAGCCTCGAATAGTCCTGCATGTAGTCAAGTAATTTATTTTTCACATTTCCTCTTTTATTTTGTCATTCATTCATTTAAAGTTCCATTTTATTTTATGGTTCCTTCATATAAGAGTATTTTCTTTCTTTTTTGTAGGTACTACATGGGCATGGACATGATCGTGGCCGTGGCCGTGGGCATGGGCATGTGGGTCACACGTCAATATCTTAGCATTGAAAACTTTTTATGGTGTTCGTGTATGTAATATTGAAAACTTTTTATGTGAATGTAGAAAATATTGTTGTGTTCTTTCATCATTGGGGTACTTTGAGTTGTATTTATTTTGTTTTGAAATGACACTACAGTTGAAATGGTGCTGAATTTTGGATGAAATGGTGCTGAATGTTGTGCTGAAATGGTGCATAATGCAGATTTTGTTGCTTAAATTTATGTTGAAATGGTGCTGGATTTTGTGCTGAAATGGTGCTGAATTTTGTTCTGAAATGGTGCTGAATTTTGCTTCAAACGGTGCTGAAATTTGTGTTGAAATGGTGCTGAAATGACTTGAAATTTTGCCGAAATTTTTGCTTCAAGTTGTTAATTCTTTTTGTTGCTAAGAACAACTTAATGATTCTAGTTTACTTTACAGTAGAATTGAAATGTGTTTTAGATTGTGATTGATTTCTTTTCTAATGTGTATTTTGTGATTGATTTACTTAGTCTAGTTTGTTTTCTTCTTCATGAAGTACAAAGTTACTTGTTCAAAAAAAAAAAGGTACAAAGTTACACTTCAAGCCTATCAACTTCTTCTACAGTTGATTTAGTTAACACTCATCTTTTACAAACCTTTCGTAGTCAATTCAATATTCACAAACATGATTGATTCTTAATACCTCAAATTTTCTTCTCATAAAAAAACCTAAAATGAAAAATAGACAGAAATTGCTAAACAGAGAGGAAGAGATTTGGTCACCAAAGTTTCTGTGATTTCGTTGCACATGTATTAGATTTATGTGAGATGTCACACTCCAGTTTGTTTTGATTTTGTCACATTGCTTCTCTTTAATTATTTGTTGGACTCTTGAAACTGCTACCCAACAATCTAGGATGGGTTTTGATTTAGAGTAATATCTAATTAGATATTATTCACAACAATGCTTCATGAGTAATTTCTCAAACTTAATATAATAAAAAACTTAATATAATAATAAAAAAAAGCCAGGCTTCTCATATCATTTTAATTGAAGTATAGCCACAAGTAACATTTATCCACTTAAATCTATGTCCTTTTCCTGCAAGTAATTGTGACATTTCAATGCTAAAAGTAAAAAAAGTTAGCATATGAATGATACAAAAATTGAGCACCTCAAAAGAACACCAAACATCCTGGTCACTTCCAAAACCAATAAAAAATTGAGCATTTCACTGGAGATTTATATAACCCTAAGATGCATCAAAGAACCCAAACAAACAAACAAAGCAATCATTCTTTCAAAACATCTTTTTATATATATCAAAAGGTCTACTAATACAATCTAACCCAGATATCAAAATATTTAGTTCAAGTTAACAACCAACTTAATTTACACATAATATTTAGTTCACAAAAGACGAAGTCCAAATCCGAATTTACTTTACACTTAATATTTAAACAACAACAAAAAAAGTCCAAATCCAATTAATACTATTACAATGGCATAGTGCAACTTTTTCCTAAGTTGTCTGATCTCTACAACCATTTGTTTACTTTCTTTCCTAAACTTTGTAACCATCTCTTTTAGCTCATCATTGGATACAAACAGTTCGTTGACCAAAGGGTTAATATTACAATTTTCGTCGCTTTCCTCCCTTATCATCTTCAACCATTGACGTTGATTATGTACAGGCATCCACCACTCAAAGAAGCCGCATCCATTGGTGTTGTTGAAAGGGCAAGCAAAGTATACCATCCCTGGCTTTTCCATTGACTCTGAAATCCTGAATGCTGCTCTCGCCCCGCAATGACATTTTTTATTTTTAAACTGAATTTCACTAGTATCACTCATAGATGCATTGGATGTTGACATTTTTTTACTTGAAATAACAACAATGGAACAACAATATCTAAACCCAACAATATCTAAGATTTTGAAAAAATTTCTTATTCTCTCAGTATCTAAACCTATGATTTAGGAGGAGAGATAGTATTTTCTTCTTTTCAAAATTATCCAATTGAAACAAGCTGATTGGATTATGCAACGCTAAATTCTTAACCAAAATCAATTCCATCTTACTCCAACATGAATTAAAATTCAAAGAACAACAGCACAAATAATACTAATGAAATAAATTAAACGAGGTAACTAAGTTGTGACAATATCCAGCAACATCATTTCAACTTTTTATACATATTGCTAAAATGAACAGAAATCAAAATAATAAAATAATATATACATCAAAAAAGAAAATAAAAGCATATCATCTCATTCTAATCCTTCTCCCCTCCCCTCTGGTTCCTCCAATCTCTCAAGATACACTTAAAACTTTAATGCTACCATGAAGAATAATATCTCATTCTTTAATACTGTCATCTTAGATTTAATGCTGCCATGAACATTAATGCTGCCATCTTAGTTTTAATAATGCACCATACCATTTATACATCTCAAGATACAATTAAAACTTTATTTAGTATATGCATTTACCATGAAGAATATATCTCATTCGTATTAGAAAGGGTAATTTGGAAGTGGAATAAAAAATGAAACTATATATACTATGGTTTGCGGAGTAAAAGCATCAACTTACACAATAATCCATATGCCCCCATAAAAAAAAAATAAATAAAAATAAATAAAAAAACTATCAAAAATTTGCTCATAAACTTCACCTTCCATGATAGTTAGTAAGAACATATATGAACTTATTGCTCTAACAAAATATAATTCGATACAGATTTATATTGCTTTCTATATGAACTTATTTCACCATTCAGTAACATTTCTAGCAAAATATAATTCAATAGAGATTTATATTGATTTCTATATGAACTTATTTCACCATTCAGTAACATTTTCCTGGGTTAATTTAAGAATATGACCTTATAGCTCTAGCAAATGGATCTCTTTTAAAATGTTTTTCACTTAAGGATGAATGGATTCAAAATTAAACAAGATGTGGGTCTTTCCTTAATTGAAATTGTTCCCACACCAAAGCTTCCTGACAAACAATCCCTAGTGCTCACTTACAGAGATAAATAAACAAATATCCCTAGTGCTAAATTTTATGGACTCTACATCAATCCACATTTTCTTGAACACACAAAGCAGGAAATTAAAGAAACTTTAATCAAAGTCAACATTGACAAAAGTAACCAAGTTCCAATTTTTACTCTTTTCTTAATTTTTGGATTCAAAGCCGTAATATTTAAAGTTTGGAGGATGAACGATTTCTTGAAAACACGAAATAGGAAATTAAAGAAACTTTAATCAAAGTCAACATTGACAAAGGTAGCCAAGTTCAGATTTTTACTCTACAAAGGTAGTCAAGTTCAAATTTTTCCTAATTTTTGGATTCAAAGCCCTAATATTTTAAGTTTAGAGGATGAACGAACCTGCGGTTTTTTCCTTCAATCTGTTAGAGTATGGCGGACAGCGGTGTGACAGCGGCAGTGGCACGTCAGGGTGGGTGGAAGAGCTCCTCCTCTCAATCATTGTAAGAACCTAAATTTTTAGACAACTAATTAGTTTATTAATAATAATATTAAGCCAATTGTTAAACCTTTAAATTATAATATTAGTAAGACCATAATTAATATCAATATTAAATTCCTTTAAATAAAATTATTTATCTTGATGTGATTATTAAAGCATTATTTTTTTTTTTTTTTTTTGAAATTACTAACCAAAACGACGTCATTTTGGTTAGTTTTATTTTGAGCCATTGGATCACCCCACTTCAGGGATCACTTCAGAAATAAAACTCTAGAGGATCCTGATACTTCACTGTTTGCATCATTATCGTTGAGTTCGCTCCTCATCAGTATCTTCAAAAATCAGTCATTCGCCTTTGTTGTGGGCTTAGACTGGTTTTGCCTTTAAGGGGGAAAAAAAACAAATGCATTTTGTATGGAATAATATTCAAAATTGATCATAAAAAAAAGCTTGATGGTGGAAACAAACACTCATGCACCATAAACAAAAGCTTAATTTTATGGGTTCATTTGGGAAGTAGGTTAATTTTTTGAGTTTTTGACTTTTTTAACTATTTTAGCCTAGGGTTAAAAAGGCTCATTTAGGAAGGATTTTTGACTTTTTTGTAAGAAAAAAAATATAATGATTATGAGTTGAATATGATATTTTGTCTTATTAAACTAAAAAGATTATTTTATTTTTTGAGATTATTTTAACCAAAAAAATCCAAAACTAAACTTTCCAAACGAGCTCTATGATTATATTTTACATATTGTTTGGGAGTACTTGCTTTGATATGGTAATTAAAGTTATTATCAATCTAATTATTCAAAAAATATATATAAAATAAAAAATGAAGTGATATTATAAGGTCCCATACAATTCCACTAAAGTTAACAAAGTCAAAATGGGCCTTGAATCGGCCCATTACAATGAATCAAAAAAAGGGAGCCTGATATTGCCTTACCAGGTTTCACACCAACGATAATTAAAAAAAAAAATAAACAGACCAGAAAAAAAAAGTTTCAAACAATATATTTTTTATTTTTGGAAAACTCTATTCTTATAAAAAAAAATAATATCATATAAATAATGTGACAATATCATTTTTATAAATAAAAATCATATTCATAAATGTTTATTTTAAGAAAAAGGTACACAAAAAGCAACTAATTGACCTTATTAGAAACCAACTTTATGTTATATCTATTTATTTATTTTTGGTATGTTTGAGATCATTAATGAAACCAACAAGAAAAATTATTCTTCACCCAACACCGAGTGTCAACTCTTAAGTTGTTCACAAGGACCAACACAAAATATCTAGACTCACTGTAGGAATTACAAATTTAAATTTAGATACCAGCAAAATCCTAAACTCGTACATAAACGTACGTTTAATTTTTGTTTAAGATAAATAAAAAAAAACCATATACCAAATCAATTTTATTTTTTAATTGATGATCTACACACAAATTTAAAAGGTGATTACGGACCAACCATATTAGGGTAAGTCGAATAGCCGATCAAGCATTGAAACCAACTACAAGGATTGCCATGTTCGGCACCATAATCAATTCGGTTCCGATTGGTAACTCGAATAACACGGCTCGAAATCTGGCTCGACACCAAAACGACGTCGTTTTGGTGTCGAGCCAGATTTCGAGCCGTGTTATTCGAGCTACCAATCGAAACCGATAATAATAATAACAATAATATAACCTAAATTCAACACCAAGATGGCTATATATATATGCAACTATCATTGCTCATAACATATTGAGAGTAAAATGGCCAACTGGAGCTTCTGGTTGTGCTTTGCATTGATCGTGTACTTGGTGACGAGGTCTGATGCTCGGACTCTGGGAGGAGGAGGGGAGGCTGGGCAGACGACCGGGGCTGGCAGACGACGGTGGTGCTGCGACGTCGGCGGCGCTGGACAGACGATCGGGACTGGGCGAGGCGACAGTCTGCTACGACGATCGGCGGCGGCGGTGACGAGGCTCTGCTTCTCCTCTGTTTCTTCCTTTCCTCCTCTCTTCTCTCCCTCTTTCTCCTCTGTTTCCTCTCTTCTCTCCCTCTTTCTCCATTTCAAACCGTTTCGAGCCTCTAAAAGTCGAGCTACGAGACATTTTCCTAATCAATTTGGTGTTAGATACAATAAGTTTTATAGTTTTTAAAGGTCATGCTAGTTTGTTACGCCAGTTATTCCCTCTTGCGTTTATGTCGACTACTGGTCTTATAATGTTTTAATTTTTCCTAATCTTTCAAAGTTTTTAATTTGAGTATGCATTATTCAATTTCAAATTAAAATTATAACAAAATATTAGAATTAATTGGTAATAAATCCAATATAATGAAGGTACAAGACATTTAGGTCAACACATAATTTTTTGTTCATAAGAGGTGCATACTTCATGCTCTTTTGGAAAGCTGGTAAAAAGTCAGTTTCCAGATTTTTATTAATTTTGGGTCACATCACCTCATATATAACTTATTCACAAAAAGACAAAATAAGTTCAAAAAGTCAGCTTTTTACCAACTTCCCAAAATAATATTTTGGTGAACAGCTATAGAGTATATTTTATTTTCAATTTTATTCCTAAACTTTTTTTTTATTTGTTTGACTTTTTGTTGACAATCTATTCAAATTTATATCTATCTGTTCAAATTGAGACTTTATTTGGCATAAATGGTTTGGGTTAAAATAATCACAAAAAGACGAGATAGACTAAAATACCAATAAGACAACTCTTTTGAAAAATAGGTTAAAAGTCACTTTTTAACTTTTAATTCAATTCAAATCACATTATCTCACATTTTTTACACGTTTTTTAAAAAAAAAATTCAAAAAAAGTCACAAAATACCATCTTCCCAAAACACCCAAAAATATCACATCAAATCATAATCATTTCATTTGCACTCTCACAAAAATTTAAAAATTAAAAAACTCATCCTAAACGAAACTTTTTAACCTCAGATTAAAATAACCAAAAAGTTAAAAAAATATCAACCCACGTTCCAAACGAAAACTTATATCTATCTGTTCAAATTTATATTTATCTATTCAAATTTTTTAACTATCTAATTAATTTTTTCCCTTATTTGTTTATTTCCCTCCCTAAATTTTATCTATTTGTTTAAATTTTTTCTTAAATTCTATCTATCTATTTAATTTTATATGTTAGAAATTCTATCTATTTAATTTTTTTTAATTTTTTTTTATAAGCCAAACAAAATCGTATTTGCTCAAAAATTTCTATCTATTCAGATATTTCTCATTTATCTATTCAAATTTTTTAACTATCTAATTAATTTTTTCCCTTATTTGTTTATTTCCCTCCCTAAATTTTATCTATTTGTTTAAATTTTTTCTTAAATTCTATCTATCTATTTAATTTTATATGTTAGAAATTCTATCTATTTAATTTTTTTAATTTTTTTTTATAAGCCAAACAAAATCGTATTTGCTCAAAAATTTCTATCTATTCAGATATTTCTCTCTCTCTCTCTCATGTGTTCAAAAACATCATCAAGAACAAATCTTATCTGTTTATCAACAACATCACCATGTCCATCAACAACGAAGGGAACACCATAGAAGAGGGGAAAAAAAAAAAAAACACGTAATATTTTATCTATTCAATAACAACAACAAATCACAGATCAAAAACCCGAACATAGTACTCACTTGGCAATGATTTTTTAATTGAGTTTTTGACTTTTTTTAACTTTAAATTTTTTTAAGCGTTTCATATTCTTGTTTAACTTTTTAACTTTAGAATGTTTTTTTTTTTTTTTTTTTTTTTTTTTTTTTTTTTTTTTTTTTTTTTTTGTTCTTTAGTAATTTTTTAACCTTTTTTTTGTCATTTTATAATTTTTTAGTCCCAAACGTTACCAAACGACCCATAGTAAAGGTTCGTTTGGCAAGAAGAGTTTGGGGCTTTTTTGATTATTTTAGCCACAAAAGACAAAATAGACTATTTTAGCCACAAAAAACAAAACATCATATCCAACCCATAATCATTACACTCTTCTCTCACAAAAAAAGTCAAAAAAGTCAAAAAGCCAAAAACCCCTTCCCAAACCAAGCTTTTTAGCCCAGGTTAAAATAGCCAAAAAAGTTAAAAAGCCAAAAAGCCAACCTACTTCCCAAACGGAGGCTAAATCTGGTTTATCCGAGACTCAAATCTCAGATTTCTCATTTTCTTACGTTTTTCCCGAGAACCAAACGTTACATAACAATATATTCAATAACTAGTTTCAACACCATCATCATATACAGTAGCGGAGGAAAGTGAGGCCCAGAAGATCACATGTCCCTCTGGATTTTAGGCTTTTTGATTTTCAGTTGCAAATATAAACAAAATATTATAAATAAAAAAATTATAAAAATATTATTACAATGATAGTCGATTTTTGACTTTTTTTTTTAAGACAACCCAAACAAGGCCTTTGTAAAATTTTTCGACATTATAATTAATAAATCCCATCTCTAATTTAATTTTCTGACATCATATATCAAAAGTTTCAGGAGGACATTTGCGTTCATAGGTATGACAGTCTCTGTACACGTATATACGTGCTTCAACAAGTTCATTCACAGATTAAAAACTTGAAAATACTTGAGAATATTTTTAAAAAATATGTGTAGAATCGTTAGGGTTGAATAAAAATCTAGAATATTTAGAATATTTCTAAAAAATAATTCTAGATATTTAAAATAAAAATAAAAAATCTAGAATTGTGCGTTCATTCATAAAAAAAAAATATTCTAGATTTTTTTTAAAGATTCAAAATATTCTCAAATATCCAAAAAAAATAAAAAATTCTGTCGATCTGAGATCTCTCACTGATCGTCACCGAATCCGAATCCGAATCCGTAGGGAAGAGACGATTAGAAAAAGAGAAGATCGGTGACAGAAAAAAGGAAATCTACAGCTTAGATCGGTGACAGAAAAAGAGAAGATCTGTAGATCTACGACCTTTCAGATCTGGATCGTCGGCGCCGGAAACAAATT